TTGTGTGAGTCTAAGCTCAGGAAGTGTGGATGAACACAACCCCCGAAATTAGTCTTCAACACCTCGGTGTGGCCTCCGGCGCACCATGATTTCATTTCCCCGGAAAACAAAGACTCATGCTCCAACTTCTCCCGTCGTAAGCATGAGAAGACCTACCCCCGAAATCCTCTAATCCCAACTTTGTGAATCCTAAAAATCCTTTTTGCATCGGGCCTTTACCACCGCCCGGTAATCCCCACATTCGCTTGACGAAGTGTGGAGACAAGAATCCTAAAAATCCTAAACCCTTAACACTCGACAACCTGATAGCCAAGTCCAAAACCCTGCGGCCCCATAGTTATTCAACCCTGGGCCCTAGTACCTGGGCGGAGGAAATAGCAACACGGAGTCTCGTGCATCGTTCGAAAGAAAGCCGTCCTCTTGCCCCCTGGAGGCCTGTGCAAGCCGCAGTAAAGCAGTTCTGATGGGGACATGACAAATCGCGACCGCTGTAATCCTCCAAGTGCTGCACAGTAGAGCACAAGCCCGTGCTACACACTGCTTTTGTGACTGGGTCCTGTGGCATTATTCGTGCTACGGCCCTTGCGTGAAAATCTTGCAAGAGGCTGCACGGAGGGTAGTGTTAGGGTTGAGAGAGATGGTCCCATGAACCCTAAAGCCTACATCCAGGACCTCAGCGAAAATGACCAGTTTTCGTCGGCCATTCACTCGGAAGCTCTCAAGAAATCAACCTCTGAAACCCTCATCCATAGATCCTGGCAAGCACGTACCCAGAGGCTCCACAGTAGTTCCTTCTTGGGTTTACCTTCTCGGATTCTAAATAATTATGAACCCCCAAAATGGAACCACTATGGAGCCTAGCGCATGGGAAGTCTGAATGTCCAAGCCAGAGAGATGCCCTAGCTGAAGATTTCGGGCTTCAAGTGTTTAGGATTCGGCGTTGGCCAAGAAGGCCTGGGCAGTGTTGGAATAGCACTGAAACTTGTCAAGAGGTTGGGGCTTAGGAAGCAACTTTAAGCATCCAGCGATTTTGTGAACACCCTCGAACTTCGCCTCGAACAAGACAGCTGTACCATTCTGCTACGGGCCCCACATTCGCAAAAACAGCACGACCCCCGCAGCTAGAGACGCACACGTAAACCCCCTTACTTTAACAGCAACAGTTGCGTATATGCACCTTCACAGAAACTCATACACACATACAGAATATGCATGTATGCGTGCATGGATGTATGTACGTATGCGAACATGGACTTATATATATATATATATATATATATATAGAGAGAGAGAGAGCATGTATATGTATATATACATATATATATATATATATATATCTATATATATATATATATATATATATATGTATGTATGTATAACGTATATAACTATATATATATATATATATATAGAAATATATGTACATGTGTGTGGGGACGTCTCTCTCTCTCTCTCTCTCTCTCTCTCTCTCTCTCGCTCTCTCGCTCTCTCGCTCTCTCTCTCTCTCTCTCTCTCTGTGTGCTTGCATCAGGAATCTGCCGTTATGTACGTTCTGTATAGGCACCTATGACGCGGGCCCCAGCATTAAGACGTCGATGTTGCAGGCCGTAAACCTTCAAACACCAGGCATTGGTAGAGGGGCCTTATAGTTCGACCAGGGTTGCTTGTGCAAGTTGCAGTACAGTTTACTGGAAGGAGCTCTCAGAAATAGTAAAGAACATTATTCAGATATGCTTTGCGTGTGTTGTCCGTGTGGCTTTTATGTTTGATGTTCCCCATTTTTCTTCTCGAATTCGTAGGCCCCCGAACCCTGAACCCGGCCACCTCCTCCTCTTCCGCCCTCCGCTGGCTCGTGCGGCTGGTGGTGCGCGAAGTGCTGATGGAGCTGGTGACCTTTGCAGTGCTTTGGCTTTTGAGTTTGAAGGTTTCGGGTTTAGGGAGTTTGGGGGGGGTTCAGGAAGGGGCCAGGGTTAAGGGTATAGGAGCTTTCGTTTCAGGGCGTAACAGCCTTAGGGCTCAAGGCTCTAAAGTAGAAGCCAGAAAGTTGGAATATGATTATCCTACGCCCTGTATGGAAAATTATAAGGTATCCGACCCTGAAACCATATTCCAACTTTCTGGAGTTCCCTTTAAACCCTACACCGGACACAGCTCCGAATCAGAGGATCAAACCTCTCACCGCGGGCCCTGGATCCCGTCCTTGCGCAGAGCATGCTGAAGCCCACAAACCGCATCTTTGTTGGTTTCAGGTCTGGCGGCTTTTTAAGGTTGCCATGATTCATTCGAAGTTGGCTTCCCACAGACTAAGGAAGCCTTCAGACATGCAAGGGATGTGAAAAGGGAAGCCAAACGGCTTCTGCTCGGATGTTTCCCCTTACAGAAACCCTTTGCCCGCCATGTTATCGCCCTGAGCGTAAGCCCCGAGCTGTGTATAATCCCTGCAACTTGAAACCTCACGGCTGAACAATAAAAACTGCTTCAAGGGCCTGAACTGTTAAACCCTCACCCCTCACCCCTCACTCAAACCCGCAACCCTTGCTACCCCTCGACCCTCAGAACCCTCTTGTCTCCAGTGCATGTAGCTACAAACTCTGGTTTACCAATGCTGTGGTGCGGGTACTGCAGAAAAAACGGAGGTCACCACGAACAAGAAGTAGTTCATTGCTGGGATAGGATTAAAAATGTACATTTTTATTCCTTATTGGGTTTGAGTACCCATAAAAATGTAAAATGTTACCCAACAGTGACAAAGAGAAGTAGAAGTATTCTTGACGTTGCATCGCCTGGTTAGGGCTAGGATAAGGGGCTTTAAAGGGAATTCCAGAAAGTTGGAATATGGATTAATGGTAGGATCCCCTATAATTTACCTTAAAGGGTTTAGGATAATGATATTCCAACTTTCTGGCTTCTACTGTAAGGGGCTTTAAGGCTTCACGGCCGGCTTAAGATCCTACGATTTGCAGCAATTGGATCTAGCTTGGCCTCCAGAGGCTTATAGGGTTTGGATCAGGGCTAGGAGCCAACATCCCAGAAGTCACCAGCGGATTCCACACCCGTTTAGGGTTTAAGGTCAAGCCGCCGCCCGGAATGCGCCACGAAGTGATGCCACGGTGTTGCTTGCCTTGTGGAAGTGGCCATTACCCACCTGAATAGGGCTGTAAAGGACAGAGCCAGAAATGAGCACAAAATCTCGCAAGATACACGCCCAAAGCTGTAACCCCTGCAGTTCCTAAACCGAATGGCCTCTAGTCCCGAGCCTTCCCGCATTCTTGCCAAAACCGGGCTGGATAGACTCTGTAGCGCTTAAGGTTCAAGGCGCACTTCCCTAAACCAAGCCCTAAACCCTAAACCATGACACGATGTACGCGGCCTTCTCAACGACTAGCGCAAGAACCGGGCTGTACCAGCAGGAGCGATAAAAAGCCCACCCCTGATGTAAACACCACATATATACTACTTACTTACCTTCATCAGGGTTTAGTTATTTGGGATGTCGGGAGAGGCAGTCATATAGGGCTTGGAGTCTAAGGCTTAGAGGTTTGGTTGTAGGCCTTAAACTAGGGTTAGGGCTGGGGAACCTAGCGGTCGTTTGACTGTCTACAGTAAGAGAGGATGCGCTCACGTTTCTAGAGCACGCGGATCAATGTCGAGCTCAAGAGCTTGATCTCAGTTGTGAACTCTCAAACTTTATGCATCCAGGCCTATTGCGACTGCCGGGTACTACTGAGGAGACTCTAAACCCCTAAACCTTAAGCCCTAACAGCCCAAACCCTACGCCGAACTAGTCTGAGGGACTGTGAGAGGAAGATGGAGCTCGATTTCCAGCACACAGCAAACATACTTGTGATGTAGGTGGCAGAGACTGAAACAATTTTTGGGTTCCATCTATTATGATTACATTTTGGTTCTTGTATTCTGCCACAAAACCTTTTCTGATTGACACGTCCCTATATTATGATATCAAGCAAGCAGGCAAGCAGCGCCCCTACGGCCAAGACAAGCAAACGAGCAACGCCCGAAAAGACCACCCGGGCACCTCGCACCCACAGCCGTCCAACGCATCTTTTTCCGCACGGCGCTTGCCAAAGGCACCGAGTCGGTCTAGTTTGGCAAAACTCTCAGCGCTCAGCAGCAAGTCAGGGTACATGCCGTCCCTTTGCTCTGCTTCCATTGCACATTACCCACCGTAAAAATTGTTGAACAGCGTAGACCAAACGTACATATTATGAGAATCATGTCTATGCTGGGGCCTTGAGTTATTCAAAAATCCAGCACCGCCGTTGATGATGCTTCTGCTGCTGCTCATACGCCTACTCCTACTCCTCCTCCTATCTACTACTACGACTACTACTACCACCTGCTACCTACTACCTACTTCTGAATACTTACTACTTACTGCTTACTGCTATTCACTACTTACTAATTACTACTTACTACCTACAAATTACTACTACTACTACTACTACTACTACTACTACTACTACTACTACTACTACTACTACTACTACTACTACTACCTACTTACTTACTTACTTACTTACTTACTTACTTACTTACTTACTTACTTACTTACTTACTTACTTACTTACTTACTTACTTACTTACTTACTTACTTACCTACTACTACTACTACTACTACTACTACTACTACTACTACTACTACTACTACTACTACTACTACTAAAACTACTACTACTACTACTACTACTACTACTACTACTACTAGTACTACTACTACTACTACTACTACTACTACTACTACTACTACTACTACTACTACTACTACTACTACTACTACTACTACTACTACTACTAAAACTAAAACAAAACTAAAACTAAAACAACACTAAAACTAAAACTACTACTACTACTACTACTACTACTACTACTACTACTACTACTACTACTACTACTACTATCCACGACTATGTACTTATGCCGCACTGCGAACACCGGGATACCCCGAAGCTGCAAAGCCACCGTCAGCACCACAATGGCGACTACCAAATATGCACGTCATCGTCTTCATCTTCGTCAAAATTCACCTCGCTCAGCACCTCCTCCACGGAGGCATCAATGTCTTCGTCCGTGCATGTCTGTCCTGATCGGCTAATCAGGGGACCTACGAACCACCACAAAGAACCACGGAGCCAAGGAGATAAGGCTCATAAGCGACAGATGCATAAGTGCAAAAGCCACCGTTAAACTGTACATTCGCAAGATTTCGTTAAAGGCCCCAAATGGCTTGCTTGCCCTGTCTATATCCCCAGGCCTGGAAACCCACACCCAACCTCACAATGACCCGCCAGGAAGCCGTCCGCAGACTGGAGAAATCGCTCCGCAAAGATGTGCCAGAATGTAAACCTGGCTGTTGTCGGACTCTTGTACATCGCATTCTAGGGTTCAGGCCCCATAAGCCTCTTGAATCTGGATCTCTGTGATTTAAACTCGAGACCACCAACCCACAAGTTCTTGAACCCTAAACCCTAAACCCTAAACCCCAAACCCTAAATCCCAAACCCTAAACCCTAAACCCCAAACCCTAAACCCTAAACCCTAAACCCGGATTGTTTCGTTTAGAGTTGGGAGCCTTTGTGGGGCGGAAGATGCTGGGGGAACACCGCCGCAAACGTGCTCCGCTGGGTTTGTATACTGAGACATGAGGGTTTCCGAAAATAGGGACCCCTTGTATAGTACCCTAAAACGGTAGGATCATGTAGCATCCTTGTTGTCAGGACCCCAAAACTCGTTGATCTGGATGACGAGACTAGACTGAATTCAAAAGAGGTCCTACACGAAACTTCCGATAATCATGCTCGTTGAACATCGCAATACCGGGCAAGGTTGCATCTCATCTGGCGACGTGTCGAAGAGGAATTCGGTGACCATGATTGGGACGAAGGGCGGCCGATTTTCGGACACCATGTCCTGTCCAATGCTCAGTTTCGGAACGCACTTTCTGCAAGTCCCAAACCCTTTTCAGCACGGGCTTTGGGTGCGCGCCGGCAAGTCCTAAACCCTAAACCCTACACCGACATCGACATGTAGCAATTTCTCTTGCTGGGGATCAACGTTTAAGTGCGTTTTATCTTTCCTAACACTGAACTCACCGAACATGCGTCGAGACGCGTGCATATAGTCTCTGCTGTCATTTCGTTTGCATGCGAACACTTTTGATAAGCAGGGCTCTACATTACAGGCACAACGTAAAACGAACAAATAGCCGCAGTGGCAACCACGGGCACTGAAAACACTCTCTAAACTCTAAGCCTCAAAATCACACCAGGCCGCAGAAACAGCCCCGTGATTACATGAACCCCAAGTCTCTGAAGGCCTGAATATAAGGATCCCTGTTAAGGTTAATCGGGAGTCTTCTGTTCAACATGCCAAACTACAAAACGGTCAGAGCTCACAGCTGCAGCAAAACGTGCAGAGAAGGAGTCCTGAACGTGGTTCCCTTTTCGGATACATAGCCTCACCTCCAGAGTTTTCAGCTGCTAGGACCCGAACACCTCAACCGGAAAAGCCCGGTCCTGAACCATACCAAGGAAGACGGACAACGACCGCAACATCACCTCAAGTGCGGGGGTCTGTTTGTTCGGTTAAAGACCCTTTGAGGTTTAAAACTACGCTTGAGGAATTACCGGCCCAGGGTCATTTATGCTTGCTATGGGCCTGACGATGACTTGCGACTGCATACGGTTAGCTATGACTCAAGTACAGCTATTGCCATGAGAAGTGCTAATGTAGGAGCCTGATTAAGAAACCCTGGGCCTATAACCCCAAAATAGTGGGACCCATATTATAAGGAGCCCTAGTAATGGCCCCAACATTATTGTTGAGACAAGTGCGGTTGTGGATGTTAATGAACTTTAAACCCTAAACCACAAGAGTCAGAGATTCAGAATGTGCGGTGAGCTGTGCCACCTGCTCTTGTAACCTCCCTTCGTGTCTTCGTGCACAGGAGATGAGTGTGTCGGTGCTCCAGCTCAGGAGCATGAGTTTCTCAGCCTGTGAACCTGCGAGCCCAAGCCTTCATCCCTACCCTGTAGTCTTCGTTGTAGTTCCTTTTTTGGTTATAGGATCCTAACCATAAAACTGGTTAGGAAAAAGGGGAACTACGATGGAGACTATAAGTTTCAGCATGCTTTGCGAGTCGGCGGAAGGGAGTTCCCCAACCCGGGAGACCACTGTTTAGGCTTGCGGGTCTGGGGTTTGGGGTTTAAAGTTTTGCATATCTATTGTGGTTGTGCATCGTCTACTCTGCTATAGATAGGAAGACTATACCAACTCGTGTTGCGCCAGTTGGACAACCAAGTCACTGCCACGTAGTCGGGAATCTTCGTTCCGGCTTCCTGCCGAGCTGTTGGCCGAGCAAAACTGTTCTAAGAACGACGAGAAATCCTTGTTGCTACGGTTGATGATATAAATCCTGCATTACCCGAAATAGGGAATGTACCATAATTCACATAGTTTAGGGTCCTTAAGGTTATAATGCAAGATTTATATCTTCAACAGTACAAACACCTACAGCGGTGATCACCCGGTGAAAAAGCAACCCAAAACTGTAAGGTCACGCTGGTCTGACATGCAAGAAAGCGGTTGAAGTCCATTCTGCGCAATCATGTCTTCACAAGTCAAGCACGCTTACTGCCCGGGCCATCAAGGCGTAATTGCAGGCCGCGGGGCATGCGGATCGTTCAGCTGGATGTTCTCCTGAACAATCACATTACCAAACATGTATCGCGCTATAGAGGATTGCTTCCTGCCGGCAAGATCCGGCATGCCTGCATGCATATCTCAACAACGAAGTACATGCTCCTTGAAAAAGCAGGTCTCCTGTCGTGCTTTCAAGTCTAACAAGTCGTTGGTGTGAAGAGCTGCAAAGAGCGCCAAGACAACCGGATGCCTCGGCGACTCTGCGTTGCAGGCTCTGGAGGAAGACTTCGACTAAAGACTCATAGTTCAAGAAGTGCTCATTACCTACAGTCTCCATTGTAGTTCCTTTTTTGGTTAACTAACAGCTATACTGTAGGACCCTAACCATAAGACTGGTTGACCTAAAAAAGGAACTACAATGGAGACTTTAGGTAGGGTTTTGTGAGGTGGGGAGCTGAGTCCGTTCAATCAATCATGGAGGCTAGTTAGTCAGGGCTTTCTGGGGTTCGGGTTTAGGGTTTAGGGTTTTAGGGTTTTAAAGGGTTTTAGGGTTTTAGGGTTTAGGGTTTAGGGGCCGGGACCTGGAACAAATCAAACCACTGTACAGTGGTCCGCAAGCCAGTATAGCATTGAGATTGACTATCAGTATACCACGCACCTGGACTCACTGAAATCTCGAATCCCAATCCTGGTAGTGACCTGGTAGTGTTTGAGGTAAGCTCCACCGTCCCTGGCACTCTCAACTTGACATAAACGACAACCATAAAGTTGCCAGATCCCGTTACACACTGGTTGGCTTGGCTGCCTTTTCAGCTCCTGACTTACACAACCTTTTGCTTGTCTCACCTGTGGCAGGCCCTGCCAGTGAACAAACATATTCACTCAGTCTTAATAATATGGGAATTTCTGAGGATTGGGGACCCTAACATCATACCCTAAATAGTAGGATCCTTCTTATACGGACCCCAAGATAAGGTGCTCGAAATTTACGGAAACTCCCATATGCCAAACCCCCGAATCCCCCACCTCTGAAACCCCAAACCCTAACATTCGTCCTATGGACCTCGAACTGCTGAGCGCCTAAAATCTCTCTCCTTCAATAACCGGGCCCAAAAAGTTTGAACTTTCTGAGACAGACCCAATATATAAGGCCAAAAAGTTTAAAGTTTCCCCATTGGCTATCTAAGAAACTTATTATAAAGACAGTGAACATCTAGAATATCTCAAAAAAAACATGTACCTATAGTCTCCATTGTAGGTACCTTTTTTGGTGAACCAAAAACTATGTTCTAGGATCCTAGCCATAAAACTGGTCAACCAAAAAAGGAACTACAATGGAGACTATAGGTTGATACCCGTACCCTACAACACTTAACCCTCCCTCCAGGCAGGCCAGGGCGCATTGTCTTGGTCGCATATCCGAGCCTTTGGGCACCCTTCTTGTAGGCCTTAGCAGGGTGTAGGGCAAGCAAAACATGGGACAGGGATATCCCATATAAATCCCCTTATAATGAAGCCCAACAAGGTAGGGATATCCCTGTAAAATGCTTATGCTTATGTGCTTTTGGGGGTCCCTAGGTGGTCCTTCTAAGCAGAATAAACCTGGACGTATACCCTAGTAATTGAACTCTCACAAGTTGGACCGGCAAAAAGGATTGGTGCTGGCATCCCTACTGTATGGCTGTTCTTCAGGGTACAAGGACAACAAGTTTCTGGCTTTAGGGGAGTCACTGAACCCTTCTTCCCTTTTGCACAGAATTGTATATGCGCCAACCCCAAACACGAAACCCTTGCCCACAGAGCCCAATACCCCTTAAATAAGGAAGATGGCTTAAACCATAATATGAAGCCCTTTATCATTTAAGCCATATTCCTTGATTAAGGGGGTATTGGGCTCTCTGGATGTGTACCGCTACATCCTCAAAGTCCGCGTCCCAGAGCCTCCAAAACCCCTTAATCAAGGAATATACCTTAAATTGTAATAGGATCCCTAATCTGATTTAAGGTATATTCCTTAATTCAGGGGTATTGGGCTCGCTGGGTGTGTACCGCTACATCCTCAAAGTCCGCGTGCGCACCTCTTCCCTTGACTCCAGGCTGGCACAGTCGAGGCCAGCGCCCTGCGCGGGCTTAGGGGTTGTAAGGGTTTAGGGGTTTCAAGGTTCAGGGTTTAGGGTGGGGTTTGGGGTTTAGGGTTTAGGGGTTAAAGGTTCAGGGTTTAGGGTTTAGGGGCTCAAGGTTCGGGGTTTAGGGTGGGGATTGGGGTTTAAGGGTTCAGGGTTAGGTGCAGGCTGCAGGGTTCAGGGTGTCGGGGTCTGGACTTTCTTTCATATCGACTGAGAAACATGAAGAACATTTCGGTTGCCCGCCTGTTTTTCTCTTGGCGTGAGCCCAAGATATCGCCGCACCACATGGGAGTCTCCGTTTGTAAGGGACCCTGGTATCCCCACAAAAAGTACCCCGAGACGCGCTACCGCTACCCTAATTTTGCGCGGCAAGGCAGACCCGACCCACCCCATTAGAGCCGTTTTGGGCCCTATGTAAAAAGCAATCGTTTATACCCCTGAAGCACTCGAAAAAGTGCCAGGAATAGCCTCAAGCGGCCGGTTGCTGGACTTACTTGGAGGATCATAGGACTTAGTAAGTAGGGTTATAAGTATCTTAATTAAGGTTATAAATAGATAAAACTATAGTTACCTTACTTATAACCCTACTTACTAAGTGATCCTTTAAGTAGGGGTAAAAAATGTACTTCAAGCGGCATCCAGGGTTTGGTGGTTTAGGGACTGGGGGTCTGCGGAATGCTCTTCCAGAGAGCCTAAAAGCCCTCAATTCAGCCAGATGCCTTCGACCATCGTAGTAGTAGTAGTAGTAGTAGTAGTAGTAGTAGTAGTAGTAGTAGTAGTAGTAGTAGTAATAGTAGTAGTAGTAGTAGTAGTAATAGTAGTAATAGTAGTAGAAGAAGTACTAACAATCGCCAACGCCGCCTCAACGTGGACAGAAAACTTAAAGACTTAACTCAAGACCCTAGAAAGCAAGAGGAGTCTCACCTACCCAAAAGGGCCTAGGTACTGTTATGGGGGATATTTCCCCAAATCATAATAAGTAGTAATCCCTACAAAGGTACTTAGGGCCCTCTGGGCTAATCAGCCCAAAGGCGCCCATTCCGAGCCCCAATTTTTGCAACCCCTGCCGCTCGGAAAGCGTTGCCTGCAGCTTGATCGCAAGGCGTTCGAAGTGGTAGGGCGAAGCGGAGTCGCCCTCAGATCGGGAGGGGTTTTGTCGGAAGTCTTGCAGCCATGCTTCTTGAAGCAATCCTGGCTGTAGAAGGTTCTATACCCTCAAACTGGAAACCGTCCGAAACGGTGGAACTCTGGGGTTCCGGGCGCCGAGGCTGAGAACTGTCGGCGGGGACGGTTTAGGGTTTAGGGTTTGGGGCACTACCATGGTGGGCCTTGATAATTACCTATAGGCCCCATTGAAGCTCCTTTTGTTGGTTAACCATTTTTACGGCTGTTTTCCAGTGGTTAGGATCCCATAGTTTTTGGTTAACCAAAACAAGGAACTACACTGGAGACTATATGTAGAATAGAGCCTTCGGGTAAAGAAGAAAGCATGCAGTATGGCCATTCGTAAACCCAGAAATTCTGTGCCCTCTTCTGTTGACTCTGATGGGCACGGAACGAGCGAACGACAAATGAGCTAGAAAACCGATTGATCAAAAGACATTCCCAACCCTTCACTCCTATAGCCACAACCCCTCTTTTGTCTGCGGAGTGGTGCTTCTTCTCTGTTTATATCTTTCGGCTGGTTGTTCCACCCGCCCAGCTCACTGGTTTAGGGTTTTTAACCCAAGATCGTGTTACCACCTTCGCTGAGTAGTAAACACTTAGCTCCCAAACGAGCAAACCAGACTACATGTCCAGTTACCTAGGGTCTTTCATTCCCAACCGTGAGGTTCTAACACCAAGAAGATTGATAGTTGAATGTTGCAACACATTTAATCTTAGGCTTTTGAACTCCTCTAACCCAAATAGTTTAGCCCTGAGCCCTACGCCACAAGCTCCAAAAGTCCGAGAACCGCGAAACCTTAGTCCGCAATCTGAAGCCCTAAGCAAACACTGCCAACAAATCCTTCTGCAACATGCTTGCTGCGACTCTGCCAGGACGAACTAAAAACAATCTGAACTCCTGAACCCCTAAACTCAAGCCTGACAGCGACCAAAAACCCATAGCCCCATCCAACAGCACCTTCTAAAACATCCTATGCTGAGGTCAGGGCAATCATGCTGGGGATCTCGTTGCTAGTGAACTTCTCACACTTCTTGATGCATTCCACATCCTGCAGGCAGTTCCCCTTGTCCCCTGGAAATAGCCAGCAAAAAAAACACGCAAGCAATTTTGAGAAAAAGTTGAGGAGTTGCAAAGGAGCTTAGGATCCGTTCATTCTCTCGGTTTGTCTTGAGTCAACGCGACAAGGTTCAAGGCTGGCGAATGAGCTGGCAAGCGGGGGGGCTTCCAACAGTAAGCAGGGGTCACCAAGCTGAGCAAAGAAAAATCAAGGCTTCGCGGCCGCTTCCACGAAGCGTCTGCAGCATCTGCAGCTGAAAGAAACCCTAAACCCCACGACCCTTCCAACCAAAAATCCGATAACCCTGCCTTCAACCCCTTCACAGCTCTCCTTGCATCCTTCTTTGCACTTCTTGACTGGGACGTCATTGGCGTGGAAGGACGAATGAACGCACGACTCGCTGACACAGTTGGCGACCGGCCTGCAGAAAGGGAGGGCGCATCCATTCATGGCGGTATGCCCTCAGCCCTCAGCCCCCTCTCTCTCTGTCTGTCTCGCTCTCTCTCTCTCTCTCTCTCTCTCTCTCTCTCTCTCTCTCTCTCTCTCTCTCTCTCTCTCTCTCTCTCTCTCTCTCTCTCTCTCTCTCTCTCTTTCCCAGGCACTCGGCTGAGGGCTAAAGCCCTAAACCCCAAACCGCTAAGCCCGTCTTCCGGTTGGGTGGCTGTAACACAGAAGAAAGTCCCCCACAAGGAGGAGTCGCATCGGAGAGCGTAGGTATTCAAACCCTGCGGATGGACTCAAAATACGATCCTGTTGGGTTGAGTATAGCGTAGGGGCCTTAAGAATTAGAATAGGGGTTTTGGAGGCCCATTATACTATAACTATAATATTATAAGGAACTCCAAATTGCACAGGTAATTATTATGCCAGTATATTATAGTAAGCATTGAAGGCACGAGTTGGGAAAGAAGGCTTCGCAAACTGAGAGCCACATGGTCCACGTCATCCCAGGTCCTGTCAACTGTAGAAGACTGAAAACTTCCCAACACGGCGCTGTAGTCCCTATGGACTCGGGCTATTGTTTAAATGTCTCCCAGAATCCCAGAACCCTATTCTGATTCTGAAGACTCAGATTCCTTGTTTATAGTTGCCTTTCCAGTCTGCAAGACTGTGGGATGCACGCTTTTTCCATGCGTCTGCATAAGGGAGAACTCCGCTTCAAGATGATTACCGGTTCTAATCGAGCCTCGGGTGGAATCGTATCAATCCGGCCGGAGTTTCCCAAAATGTGGGGCTTGTCATGAAATGGATTCAACCAGAATTCTCGCAGCAGCTTAGGTCCACACAGTCATGACCCGCACAATGGGGAAACCTCCATACTGTGATCGAGCAGATCTCTACACGCCTCATTGCATGGTGCATGGCATGTAGGCGTCCTGTACTCAGAGCTGATCTATGACAAGGTCCTGTTCCGTTGCTCTGCAACGTTACTCCGCTGCCCCGGGTGAAACACGTCGCGAAACATCAGTTAGCTGCAGGCCTTCCTCGAGGCCATGCATGTCCTTTAGGCATTTGGGTGGTTGGGTCCTTTTTTGGGTCCTTATTAGAATACGGCACCTGATATTTAGGGTACCCAAAAAGGGGCCATAATTTTGACAGCCACCCTTTCAGAGTTGAGGGGCCTTTTGGGGTTTAGGGCTTTTCAGGGCATGGTCCCTAGCCGATGCCCTCGACCTCGGGTTTAGGGTTTAGGGGTTTAGGGTTTAGGGGTTAGGGTTTAGGGTTTAGGGGTTTAGGGTTTAGGGTTTGGGCAGCATGTAAGGGATGCCTAGATTGACAAAGGGGGCCTTTCATGAAGTTGTGAGATACGAGCCTAAACCCAGCAACCACCAGGACTTTGAAGCCCCAAGCCCTGAAAGCCCTTGTCCGAGACCCCAGACCATTACACGGCACGGCCCTTGTTAACTAGAACAGGGTCGTGGGGCACGGTATGCGGTAATGATGCGATGACCAGGAGACGTAAGGCTCTTGGGACCCAAAACCTGAAGCCCCTCTCCCCTAAACCCAGAGGCCCAATAGTAGTTCCTCTTTGGGACTACCTCATAGGATTCTAAATATGAACCCCCGAAAAGGAACTACTTTGAGGTTTATAGGGTAAACCCCTAAACTTTAAACCGTCCTGGCTCAGCAAGAGCTTCTGCCGCATCTGGGACAGGAAGCTCAGGTCTGTCGACTGTGTCGGCGTGGCGAAGCCGGCATTCAAAGGATGCTGTAGCTCCTCAAATTACCGGTTTAGGGGTTTAGGGGTTTAGGGTTTAGGGTTTAGGGTTTAGGGAGTGTATGTGCGCGTAAGTATAACGATGTATACATTCATATATTAGGAGTATGCGTATGAGGGCGAGTGTTTATCAGTGTTAGTCTTTCGTGCCAGTACTGGAAGAAATTAAACCTAGTCATTCCTGCAACGACCTCTGCTTCATATACAACTCTCGGAATATCCTAACCCTAAACCCTAAACCCTAACCTCCCAACCTCCCAGCCATGTGAGAAGGAGGCTTGTCGATCGGGGGTTGATATCACACCTAAATCGTGCTTTCGCCATCTCCCACCCCTGAGAGATGTGTCCTAATCAGCGGTGCGCCGTTGTATCTGCAACGCGCTGGGCAAAAAGGCTCTGAATGTGGGCGGCACTCATTGTACCAGGGCTTTGAGGGTATATTGTGGTATAATGTATAATCACAAGGACTTTAGCTAGTACCAAATATTCTCAAACCTCTACGATACCACTTGCACAGCCACACAGGTTGCACCCGGGGTATGGCTACCTTTGCCCGAAATCGCGGCTCGACGGTTTCGGTCTTAGGGAGGTTCCCGTACAGTAAAGGCATATTTTTATCCCGGATACTCGAACTCTACCCTACACCCTAAACTCCTGATAGGAGCAGATCTCCACCTAATTCGAATCCTGATGGGAGCCTAAACCGTAAACTAAGCCTAAACCCTGAGTCGAAGCTCCTGCTTTAACTCCGTGAATAAGTCGTCTCCACAACCTCGGCTGCCCGCCCCAAAGCCGCAAGATGTGGAGAGGCCCGCGGAAGCAGACATCCCGCGGGGGTGCAGCGCTGTCCTGGTTTAGGGTTTAGGGCTTGGGGTCAGGAGAGGGTTTGGGGTTCTCTCTCTGTCCTTAAACTCATAAAGCCAAAACCCCCTGCATAATTACTAACCTCTTGAAGCCAGAAGCTGAATCTAAATCCGGATAATCCTTAAACGATAAGAAAACTGGCGACAAACCCCTGAACCCGAAGCATTAAGACGATAAAACCCCAAGCCCTACACCATCCTAAGCGACAAAGGTGTTTTGGAGGAGGGGTCTGTAGTGCACATGCCCTCACGTTGTCGCTAAACCCGATGGCGAACCCTGCATGTTACAGGTGGTCCAGAGACTCCACAAGCTCTTACTCAGGAACATACCTGACATTACATGGGGAAGTCTTCTTGTACTTGAAGGTATATTCCTCAATGTTAAAGCCTTACTAGACATATACACCTGAAATTATCTAGAGCAATCGTTCTCATACTTTCCGGTGTAGTCCTTGCTCTAGAATTTTTCGATCCTGAGGTTCAGCTGGGAGCCGCTTAGGAACAGAAGGCCGGCGGACGTGCCTAGTTATGACGATCTTCCGGCTTTAAGATCTTGTAGGGTTTAAGGCTTAGGGGTAGGGGTCCGTGCAAAGACCTCCTGGCTTTACGGTTCAGGTGGTTTAGGTTTTCGCTGTAGATTTTTGGTTCACGTGAGTTTAAAGCAAAGCCTTTGGGGTTTAGGTTTGATTTGTTAAGGACATCTTTCCAAAAACCCTTTTTGGATTCTGGCTCGGGGAATCACAGTCGACCGGTTTAGGGTTCAGGACTACGAATAGTCCAGTGGGATATCCCGCGTGGTTTGTGTTACTGCTACCAGCTAAAGTCCACAGGCACTCTGTGAAAACTTTCTCTCTCTCTCTCTCTCTCTCTCCCACCCTGTGTGAAACTCCAACACTATGTCCTAAATTCTGAAACCCCAACCTGCTGCTGAGATCTCGCACCGTAGCCTCCTCAACCCGTGCCGAGAGGCCTTCGGGCTAATGTTGGGGCTAGAATATTCGAAGAGGCTTTGGGGCAATAAGGGAAAGCTAAGAAATAGCATGTTCCATCACAGATGCTTCCCAAACCCTTGGTCCTGGGAACCCCTTCCGGCCATTGGAAATCGAAAAGGTCATCGTCTTCTTCCTCAGCTGCGTACCCGCAATGTGGTGGTAGTGGGAAACATAAACATGGAGGGCGGCGTGTAGCGAGGAACAACCTGCTACAGTCGCGCGGGCAGTAGTCCTCGTCGTCGTCGTCGACGTCGTAATAGTCGTGCTGGTAGTGGCACTGCAGCGGTAGTGGCAGGGGTACGGGTGGTGGTAGTAGTAGTGGCAGTCGTAGGGGTAGAGGAGCAGGAGCAGCAGCAGGAGTAGTAGCAGTAGTAGTCGTGGCGGTGGCGCTGGTAGCTGGTGGTGGTGGTGGTTGGGGCGATAGCGGTAGTTGTACTGGTAGTAACAACACGCAGCAGGTTCAAGAGTGGTGGCAGTCATCTTCGTAGTGCATGAGTTGTTCTTATCGACCTAAGCCTCCCTCATGGCACCAAGTTTGAAGGTTGCCAGTCATAAGTGCAAAAAAACGCCTCGAAACACGGGAAGAACTGCAATCGATGCCGGTGGCGGTGACATGAGCTTAGACCCACGCTGGCTTGATATGCCCCAGCAGTGCTTTTTTATACGAGCGGAGGTTGCTTAGCAATAGCAATAGCTTAGGCCCCCTCCACGCTGATCACGTGCCCTACAACCCAAACTTGGACCGAGACTAGCCTTGGACTTGTGCAATCCCTCAGTGCCCCACTGCCCAACGCCACCCAAGCGTCCCCTCCCTGATGGCCATCCGACGTGACGGTGATGTCTTTGCTGCCCGAAGCCGCAGAGAGCCCTGCTGGCGACGCCTCACTCGACAGGTGCAGCTGCAATCCCATGTTCGTCGTTCGGGCACTGTTAGCTTTGCATCTTCGTGTCGCCGATCATTGCATTTTTTACTTGCCAGCGGGTCTGTCGGATTGTTGCACTCAAGATATGGGGCCTGATGTGGGGCTTGGCGTTTCGGGATTCAGGGTGATAGAGCTTGGGGTTCATGGTGTGCGGGGGTTCTGATTTGCACTGGTCAGTAGGCGTTTCCACCTGGCCGATTGCCAAGCTGTACAGCTGACGGAATTCAGAGATCGGCTTTACGCAATTTTGAAGAAGCTCCTTCCCTTATACAGAATCTATGCCAATCTATGCCCTAAACCCTCAACCCCTAAACCCTTAACCCCTAAACCTTGAACTGCCCTAAACACTAATACCCTAACCCTAAACCTCACAGCAACAGCTAGCACTTTAGGAAGATCCACGCTAGCGCGGAGTGCATAGAGTC